GCACCATTCCCTAAAACTTGGTGGCTTCGAAACCCTGCCTCTGGAACAAGCGTAGCCCGGGCCACTTCGGGCACTGTGGCAAGCCATGGCCAAGGGCTGAGTGCACTTTGGGCATTGCTCATCCGCCGCTCTCGCTCTCGCTTTCCCTCTCCGCTTCCCCTGGCCGCAGGGGGCGTTCTCACACAGCTTGCAGCGACGCACGTCTCTTGGCAGGGCCGTGGCAAAGACACGGCCTCCGCTTTCTTCACTCTCACTGGCTGGTGTTGGCTTTCTTGCTGCTTTCTTCTTCTCAACTTCTCGCCTCATCACATGTGGCAGCTTGAAGCATCATACGTTCAAGCATGTAAAAACCAGCACATGTTTGCCGCGAATCACTTCTTGCATATTCGCACTATTCATTTCTCAGCCGTCCCAGCCTTGCTTGCTTGCCACGCATGCGGCTCTGAATCTTGGTCGCGGCCAGCTCCTGTGCTCGATCCACTTCGTTCTTGTCACCAGGGCCCGCTGCCTCCTCACTATCTTTTCTTCTACTCTTTGTCGACTGCTTCTGCTGACTTTCATCATCACTATCTTTTCTTCCGGCCTTTGCTCCTTGCTTGCGCTGCTCTACCTCTCGCCTGCGGGCCCGTATGCCAAGCAATCATTCGTTCATGCCGCTTCCCATGAACACAGACCTGCTTCCGTGCCATTGCATATGCCGTGTACAACGATCAAATCGCAGCATTGCAGCAACCTGCTCATCATGTTCCACATGACGGGTGCAGTGTCTCCTGAATTACAGGCTCGTTCCCTCCCAGCCTTGCTTGCTTGCCACGCATGCGGCTCTGAATCTTGGTCGCGGCCAGCTCCTGTTCTCGATCCACTTCGTTCTTGTCACCAGGGCCCGCTGCCTCCTCACTATCTTTTCTTCTACTCTTTGTCGAGTGCTTCTTCTGACCTTCATCATCACTATCTTTTCTTCCGGCCTTTGCTCCTTGCTTGCGCTGCTCTACCTCTCGCCTGCGGGCCCGTATGCCAAGCAATCATTCGTTCATGCCGCTTCCCATGAACACAGACCTGCTTCCGTGCCATTGCATATGCCGTGTACAACGATCAAATCGCAGCATTGCAGCAACCTGCTCATCATGTTCCACGTGAGGGGTGCATTGTCTCCTGAATTACAGGCTCGGTCCCTCCCAGCCTTGCTTGCTTGCCACGCATGCGGCTCTGAATCTTGGTCGCGGCCAGCTCCTGTTCTCGATCCACTTCGTTCTTGTCGCCAGGGCCCGCTGCCTCCTCACTATCTTTTCTTCTACTCTTTGTCGACTGCTTCTTCTGACCTTCATCATCACTATCTTTTTTTCCGGCCTTTGCTCCTTGCTTGCGCTGCTCTACCTCTCGCCTGCGGGCCAGTATGCCAAGCAATCATTCGTTCATGCCGCTTCCCATGAACACAGACCTGCTTCCGTGCCATTGCATATGCCGTGTACAACGATCAAATCGCATCATTGCAGCAACCTGCTCATCATGTTCCACATGACGGGTGCAGCGTCTCCTGAATTACAGGCTCGTTCCCTCCCAGCCTTGCTTGCTTGCCACGCATGCGGCTCTGAATCTTGGTCGCGGCCAGCTCCTGTTCTCGATCCACTTCGTTCTTGTCGCCAGCGCCCGCTGCCTCCTCACTATCTTTTATTGTAGTCTTTGTCGACTGCTTCTTCTGACCTTCATCATCACTATCTTTTCTTCCGGCCTTTGCTCCTTGCTTGCGCTGCTCTACCTCTCGCCTGCGGGCCCGTATGCCAAGCCACCCTACGATCATGCTAAACACAAGCCCGCACGACATTCAGTGAGAAGGATTGCATTCATTGCACGGGCTTGCTGGCGAGTGTTTCATGAGTACCCTTTTTGTTATCGGTCAGGTCGTTGTTGTTCTGAACAAGGTGCCCTGGACAACAAGGCCTGTCTGGATCTACCCATTGTCGTTTGTTCCTCCTTACTGGTGCACCGCGACCCTGCATAGTTCTAGAACTTAAGGGATGTGCCTTTGCAACACAACGAGGGGAGTTGTTGTTCCATCCCAAGTGGCAGCAAAGCAGCAGCCTGCTCACCACATAGCACATGAGGGGTGCCGGGGTGCAGGGTCTTCTTGCTTAAAGGCTCAGTCACTCCCAGCCTTGCTTGCTTGCCGCGCATGCGGCTCTGAATCTTGGTCGCGGCCAGCTCCTGTTCTCGATCCACTTCGTTCTTGGCGCTGGGGCCCTCTGCCTGCTCACTATCTTTTCTTCTCGTCGTTGTCGACCGCTTCTGCTGACCGTCGTCACCACTATCTGTTCTTGTGGCCTTTCTGCCCTCCTCCTTTGCCTCCTTGCGGTTGTCCAGGCCTTCCCTGCTCTCAACATTGCGAGCCCGCTCGCGCTCGCTTTCACTGCTTGACCTGCAGGGTTTTGGCAGGAACACCAGCAGCCCAAAACTCATGCCAACTGCGTGAGCCGCTCAGAATGGCACTGAAACTGTTGCCAACCACCGCCTTGCTTTCTTGCCTTGGGCGGCCTGAACGTTGGCCTTTCGATCCTGACCCTCCGCCCTCTTCTTCTGACTGGTCTTTGTGTCTCTTTTGGCCGCATCGACGTCTTTGGCCCGGCCAAACGTCTTTGCCCCGTCTTTCGCCCTGGCGCCAAGGCTGTCACCCCACCCCACCCCTCCCCACCCCATACCAAGCGTACCTCGAACCCTGTACGGCTTCTTTGGGCTCCTGGAGGCAGTGTGCAGTGTTCTTCAGCCAAAGCACAGGATGGTGCATTTTTTCTTGTGAACAAAAACGCCAGGGGACCCTGAAGCGACCTTATGGATAAGGTGACCTTAAGCGGGCGGCTGAAGGGGGGACCAAAAACCTGGATCCTTCACACAGACTGGCGACACTCACACGTCAATCTGCCTCCTTGCGAACCGGGCTTTTGCTGGGCACAGGTCTGGCACCTGCATGGCAGGCCAACCCTTCCTCCAAGCCTTTCGAGGGATTCGAGGGCGATGGAGGCCCAAAGCATCGCCTGCCTGAAACCCTCCAGAAACCTCACACAGAATTGACCCCACAGCTCACCGGCCTGGCGCCTTCGCGACGCGTGGCGTCGCAGCTCCTATGGAGGCAAGGGTATTGCCTGCATCTGAACATCCACCCCAGTGTGCGGGTTTTCCTTTGTGGCCCGGGCTCTCTCTGATCAAGGCGAGTCCTCTCAGTCTGTTTGAAAAAAGCCTCCCTAGTCCATTTCTCCCAGCGCCAACCTCCGGTCAGGGACCCCGAGGCCCAAGCTCGGTGACTTGTCCGGCCCGGCAGCGGGTGCCCTGTCGCGGGTAGGAACTCCCCCCATAAAGAAATGAAAAGAAGCGACAACAGGGATGGGGGGGATGGTCAAAGATTCGGAAGGAGGGGCTGGCGTCGTGTGTCCTCAGCATCAACTAGCATCAACTAGTTGAAACAAACCAGGATCCAGGGGTGAGCGATGGCGCTCGAGAGAGCCCCTCCTACACCTCCAAGAGCCAAAGGCTGACGACCGACGGCTGAAGCCAAGCAAGCAAAACTCGGACGAACACCGAATGGCTCTCCCTTTCAACACCCGCAATTCACTGGGTTCTCATAGAGGTGCCACTTTTCGGGGGACAAAGGGAGGGGGGGTGGAGCGACCTCTGCCTCAACCCCGCCTGCGGGGAGTTTGGCCCCGGCTCGCCGCGCGGGGTGTGGCCGGCGCCGGCCCCGGCGCCGGCGGGGTGCGCGACCTGGGCCTGGGCGGCTGGGCAAAATGCGCTTCAACAATCCAAACCTTGGCATGGGAGCCAGAAATGCTTTTGCAGGCCCCAGTCCCCCCCCCCAAAAAAAAAAAAGAAGGAAAAAGAAGAGCACATTTAAAGAAAGTGAAGCCAACTACCCTCTGGTTGCCTTCAATTGGGAGGTAGCTCAAACAAGAAGGTGCTTGAACATGGTACAGTTGGTTGCCCAATCCTAGCATGGGTCCCTCGCGACTGGTCAACCATACCACTGCCCTGCCATGGCAGTACCCCTTTCCCTCCCATGTATGTAGAAGATATGCAAGCCCGGAGGGTTAACGATTTATTGGGCTACAACAGTTCGCAGAGATGGGTGGTGGCAGCGCCAGCCCTAGCGCATGTGGGTCAAAAGGCAAAAGTTGGTTCTAGCCCAAGATTCCACCTCTCCGTTTTGTGCGCTGCCAAAACTTGTGGCCTGGGCGACAAAACAGAAACAACGATCAGACATAGCTCCCAGATTGAGAAGCCTTTGCATCTTCGAAGAACCCGCCTTCCCTCTTTTAGTGGGGAAAGGGCCTAAGGGTGTTGCAAGGTAGCCGGAATTTGGCAGAACCCAAAGCCCGCTCACTCAGGCCAGGTCTTGGCAGGAGCGGCTGCTCCGCCTGGCTGCACCATGCCGCACTCGGACCCCAAGGACAAGCACCGGGCCACTTGAAGTCAACATGTTCAGGGTATCCGGCCGCACTCTCAAGGCCATGCCAGGGTTGCACAGCACAAGTGAGTTCACCTACATGTTCAGGGGTCCCCGACCTTCCCTTTCCCGGCGGTGTCAGTTTCAATCCGACATTGCCTTGTGGCTTCCTGACGCGGAAAAATGCTCGCCTTGGGGAAAAGCGGGGCTTCCATGCAGCCATGGCTATTTATTGCTTGGGGGATCTTCTTGGTGGCCTCAGGCCCAATTCTCTACAGGAGAATTTCGGGGCCAGGTCTGTGATCTTAGAAAGCCGTGCAAACAGCGTTTCTTATCAACATCCGCTGAAACAAGAGAACATGTTGGGGGCAACGCAAGTGCAGCACAGGAGCGCTCACATTTACCTAGACATGCAAATATCAAAGCTTCAACGGCTCAGTGCATTTGATGTAAAACTTTGTCTCTTAGAGCCAGCGAGACAAGGCTACCCAAGCAAGGCGAGCATCCAAGTTTCCTGGCCCGGCCCACTGCTTCCCCAAGCCTTCCCACTTCGAGCGGCGCCTGCGTAGGGGTTTCTCGCGTTGCCTTCACGCCGGGGCGAGACGGCAGGCTTGCCCTGGCGCGAAGTCAGGCGCCGCCCAGGCCAGGGCAAAGAAACGACTGGTTTGGGTTGGGGTTGGAGTGCAGGTTGGGATGCGGAATGTTCCAAGTCGAAGTTGCAACGTCGATGACCGCAACTGTTTTGACCCCAATACAGCGGAGAGAATATTCACGAGAAAAAATAGAAAGCTCGCCTGCACCCCCGCCCCCCAGCAGGGCGTGGGTTTTTTCTTTTCGGGCTGGCTCAAAAGGACACCAAATGGAAACCAACCATTTTGACACGTGGCACTATGACAGGTGCAGCCACAAACTCACAAACTGGCCCGCGCCTTTCTCGGCGTCTTTGCCTCTGACCTGCACGAGGTCAAGTGCTTGGATGACACCCGGTAGGGTTTCCCTACATACACCTCAACTAAGCTACAGGGGTTTGGAGCCACTTTCTCACTTGGCTGCATCCAAGTGCCACAGGATTGCCACGTTACTTTGGCCGAGAGTCAAAGCAAATCAGGACACAAATGATCTTTTACCGACAGTCTTTTACCAAAACGTTGGCAATTCCAAATGCCACGCGTGCCGCCTCACCTGCCCTCAAACAGAAATTGCAAAGAGTGTAAGATGCACTTGCGCCGGTTGTTTCTCGCCATGCTGCGCTTACAAATTCGGTGCTCGGCTGTCCTAACCATTCAGATTGCCTGATTCCTGACGCGCGCCGCCTGGGAAGAAAAACGCTCACGTCCGAAAGCGGTTTGGCAACGAGGCCCCAAAAAGTGGCGCCACCGCATCCGGACTGCACGCGCCTAGATCGAGGAGTCGCCGGACTGGCAAGCCGGATCCCGGAAGCTGTGGTCTTTTGAAGCCATCCAGACCTCCCTGTGGTATGTTCTTGGTCAATGCTCAACCCTAAGGGGTTCATCCAGTTCATCCCGTTTAACCAAGGAGTCCCAAGGCTAGGTTCACCCCAAGTCCTAGGTTCTTACGCCAAGCGCTCAACCTATTTATTTGAGGGGTACATCCTAGTCAAGGGTCAGAATGTAGAATGGACCCAAACGTTGACCCGGTGCTTGGCTTGGACTGAACGTGCCGCTTCAAACCCAGCCTTTCTCCCCAGCAGCGTTTTGCGGTTTCAAGAAGGGGGGATTGATTGAAGAGACCCAACATGAATGCCTTATGAAGCCCTTATTTGGAGGAAGCCAAAGGAGGGGTGGGGGGAAAGGGGGGAGGGTTGGATCCTACACCGAGTAGGCGTGCCTTTCAGCTCGGTCGCGCACAGTGCCCATCACGTGCCGGGAAATCTTTCCATAGTCCGCATGCCTTGGCCCCATGGGCGCGCATCACAAGACCACTTGCCAGCGTAACCCCTCACCTAGGTGTCAAATACAAGGCCTGCAAAACTTCAATTCCCTGCTTTCTGTGGGTAAAGAGTGGATAACTAAGTCGATATGGGGAGGCTGTGACCATCTACTTTCACCAACAGTGGGAAAGAACATCAACTTTTGGCTCAAAAACCTGGCAGCAGGGGGTAATCAAAAGAGAATCGGATCCCCACCAACAGGAGACACCCATTGAAGCGGGGCTCCCACCCCCAACCCTCCAACCCCCCCCCACATCCAAGTCGCAGGGTCTGTTTGCGCAGCTTCCGCAGCTGCAGCTCCAGGATCTCCAGCTCCTTGGACGCTTTCACTGGAACATGGACCTCTGGCCTGCTAAGACTGCTCCAAAGGTTTATACCGGCTTTATCAGAGTCCAAAATGAAGCTTGTGGTCGTACCGCCCACTAAAGTGGCCCTCTGGACACAACTCAAAAGGCTTCTTGAGTATCCAAGAGAACCGCTTGCGATCTGCCGGCACGGGCAAAAGCCAAACGAGCCCGGAGGAGGCATCCTGCTCCATCTTCAAGCTCACCTCGTCGCTGTCCAGGCCGAAGTCGTCTTGCATGTGGCTCGCAACAAGCCGCTCCAACTAACGCTTCCTTACCCAAGACGCTGGCTTTCGTGACACCCCAAGAGGAACTCCGCTTCAAAGCGGTCCAAAAGGTGACCGTTAAGATTGCATTCAACGGCAACATAAGGGGCTCCGAAGGCGCCACGGGAACACACCGCGCTTCGCGACCAGGCGTGCAAAAGGAACTTGATTGTGTGTCAAAATAGGCTGAGGAAGAAACTGCAGAATGATCCATCCTTCAGCTGATCAGCGCATCTCCCAACATGGGGACGTGAACAACAAAAAAGATGCGGAATCATTTCGCCAGGGCCTGGGCACATGCATTCTAGTCTGCCCCTTATCAGGCGCCTTGAGGCAATGGCGTGTGCACGGAGAGGGCCTGCTGCCTCAAGCCGAGCAATGGGCCATGCACATATGGCCGCCACATGGGGGGAAAAACACGCCAGCAAGGTGCTTTGAACCTGCTTACGGAAAATAAAAAAAGGGTCTGAGTACCAAAACTGGGGAGGGGGGAAAGAAATGATTCAAAGGCCCCCATGAGCGAGCTGCAAGTGATCTTCCGCCTTCTCTGCCAACCTCTTCTGCTTCCTCGGATGCTGAAAGGGCACACGGAGATCTGTGCCGTTTCTGCAGCTCACTCGCTCAGTATGTGGGAACCCGTTTGAATTTGATGCTGATTTGGAGCGGAAAGGCACCACCCTCTCCCCAACAATGGCCTGCCACCGTCCTTTTGAAGGGGGATTCTTGTCCACTTCCATGGCCGTTGGGAGAAGTGCATGCGGGGCACAGGTCCAAAGGCCGCTCAACCACCATTTCGTGGTTTGGATGCTAGGGAGTGCCTCTCCCCTTTTCTTTCAAATTGGTTGTTGGGGTTCAGTTCCCCAAACCACCAATCCAAACGACCGATTAAGGAGTACCTGACCCAACGCTTTGCAACAAAAACTTGATGGCCGGTCGTTGTTTTTTCATAATAAACTGGCAGTGGCTTTTGCTTAGTGGCTCGCTACAAGAACCAGCAAAAATACAAATAACAACCCCCCTTCAGCAACACACTGCCGAAACCAGCCCCAAAACCTGACACAAGCAAGCCCAAGCCACCCCCAAGTTTACCCAAGTTCAACCCTAAACTAGGCCAAGCAAAAACGAATGCCGCAGCCCGTGCTGCTAGCGACGCCATGTCAAAACTGATGGCCTTTATGAATGTGCACCCCCCTGACACGGAGATTCCCATATGCGAGCTTGTTGCGGGACCTAAATTTAATCTCGTGCCTGGAGGCCTTCCATTTACTCATCTTCTCGTCCAAAGCATCCTTTAGTTCCTGTTCAATGCCTCTGTATGGTCTCCTTCTCCTTGGTCTCCTTTTCTATGGTCTCCTTGCTCCCCTTTCCATGGTCGCCTTGGTGGTCTCCTCTCTTATTGGTTCTTCAATGTACCTTTTTCATGGGTAGCACAACGAGGCCCTCAAATACATGTGTATATATCTATATATGTATATATCCGTCAGCGTCAAACTACTTGTCTGGGATGTATTCACTCCGACGCTATGGGCATGAAACACTCCTACACAGTAAATGACGGTAATGTTGAAGCCGACTTATACATAAATATGTATATATATATATACATGTGTATATATATATATACATCTACAAATGTATACACACAAAATATATATGGTACATCTCCATATGTAAACATATAGGTGTGTATACAATTATGTGCATATGAGACGTCCGAGCAGCAGTCGCTGCCGGTGGCGCTCGTCCCGCTCCGCGGGGTCCTGGCAGTAGAGGCGGTCCACCACCTTCGCCACCTGAGATTTCCCTAAATGGAAATCGATTGGAAACCTGGGCTGTCCGGCTTCAGATCGGACGCCAAAAGTGAGGTTCACCTTTGGTGGGTTTACTGGAAATCCAACCAAACAGGAAAAAAGGAGAAAAAGCTCAGGAACCGGATGGCTGCAACCGCCAAGTCATGAAGCCTTGTTTGTTCTTGGAGGCTCGCTCAGTGCAACTCGGTGGGCGGCGGTTTTTTTTGCTTTTTAGGGGGAGGGGTCAGGCTCAAAAGCAACAACAGCTTTTGTGAGTCTGGGAATTAAGCCCCCACTTTGCATTTAAGGTCCTTTTTTAGTGGCGAATGCCTTTCTTCCAAAAGGACCCCTCCTGATTAAAAACTGGGGGAGGGGGGTGATTCTTCAGAAGTCAACGCGAAAGTAGATGGATTCTTTTTTGGGGGGAGGGCACCATCCGGAGGAGTTTATCAAATGTGGACCCTCTTTCCCCCTACCGTTTCTTTTTGGCTTCTAAGCAACCTGAAAAGTTTGCACCGAGCCGCCCTTTTCAATAGCACACCATCTTCCATTTACGTGAGGTTTGGACAAAACGAGTAGTCTTTTGGTCAATGTGACTCCAGAACCTCCAGACCTGCCCCGAGCTTTGGCGTGCCTGCCTAACCCCCACCCCAATGGCGAAGAGCTGATCACCCCAAACGCGGACAACCCAAACAAGCAATCAAAAGGGGCTGTGTTCAGGGGATTTGTGCGGCAAAACCAAAAAATGGGGTGGGAGGGGAGCAAATTTTGGGGCGGTCGCCTTTTTGGCATCTCTTTGAAATGGGTACAGGGTTCTATCAGGGCTTGCCTCAAGCACAAGTTGGTTGTGTGCGATTGGATGTTGAAAAGAATTGCATTTCTTTATTTCAGCTATTGATCTACGAATTGCATCTATTCGTTTTAGCTGTTGGTCACATTCCGTCTTGCGCCAGTTTCCCGCACCAATGGAAGGCCATTGGAAGGCCTCATTCCATGCTACATAAGGAAAGCCAGCGCATATCCGCCAGCGCACAATGATCCTATCTTCATCCCGGCAACTGAAAGCTCCCCAACAGATTGCCACGAAAGAAAATGCCCTGCTCCAGTTGCAGCAAGGGAGCCGCCGTGGGCGCAGCCTGAGGCTAAAGCACCCAATTGGCACCCCCTGTGAAATGTGAACTGTGTGCCACTCGGAAAGGGAACATGAAGCAAAACGAAAAGAACAAAAGGCACGAAAAGGGAAATCTACAGTAAGTCCAGCGAGGCATGGAATGCTTCAACATGGCCAAATTTGAACCCATGGGGCCAAACTCATCTGCCAAGACGCCGGTGAGTTCTCCAGCTTGCGGTGCAGAAGGTTCCTCGCACAACTGTGTCGGCAGGGAAACCAAACACAAAATGTATGGTTTCAACCAAAAACCGCAACTAACCAAGAAATGTTAGCAAGCCACCATCCAAGCAAGGAAGCAATCAAACAAGAAAACAACCAAGCAAGCAAGCTAGCAAGCAACCAAACAACTAACGAAGCAACCAAGCAACCAAGCAACCAACCAAGCGACCAAGCGACCAAGCGACCAAGCAAGCAACCAAGCGACCAAGCGACCAAGCAACCAACAACGAGCGAACGAACAAACCAGCCAGCCAGGAAAAAAGGGTTCCTCAACTGACACGCGTGTGTTTCTCCACCTGAGCACCCCCAGCCTGAAGCAAACCTATCATCTTTAGAGCACTCTCCCATGTAAAGATGAATCATGCCACCGGTCAATGGCGGAGACGCAAAGACCAAAAGGTCAGCCAAGCAGCACCTCGTCTTGCGCCTCCGCCTGGGTGCGGCTAAGATGGCTTCTGGATTCCAACTCAAAGCCATAGGTATGGCGAGGTTACGACCCTTGGTCGCTCAATGGCCCCTGGTCTCTAGCCACTACATTGGCTGCGGCTCCCCTTTGTTCAAAACGCGACCCAGGCAAAGGGAACCCCAGCTGTGTAGTGGCTGCATATCCCATCACATCCCGGAAGGGTTTTGGTTTGGTAGCAGAAACCATCTTAGATGCCAGGTGTACGTAAGATATGTCCAAGTACTTGGGAGGTTGTGCGACTTGTGGGGCCTTGCAAGGTGGGGCAAACTGATACCAAACACAGAGAGGAAGTATGAGGCCCATAAACAGGCCTTGATTGTCACGTGAGTGTCACTTTTCTAAAGGATTTTGACCCCCAGGATCTGTTCTTTTCTGTTGGCTTTCCCATACAAATCCGCCAAACCAAAAGCCGACCAGCCACCCAGGCGTTTTTTGCCCAAACCCTACCCTTCAGACACCGTCCCCCACAAGCCACACGCCAGGACTTGCTGCTACTCAGCAGGGAATGAGTCAATGAACCCAGCTGTCCCCCTTAACAAGGAAACCACTTCAGTGTGGGGGCCATTCCGGGCGGGGCAAAATATGGTTTAAACACCACCTTTACAAGGGCAAAATCATAATAACCAGTGGTTAAACATGTTTAAACCAATGGGTGGTTTAATTACTTTCCATTTCTCCTTCCCTGCATCTCTCAAACGCCGAGGTCTCGGCCAACCGCTCCATGCGGCGCTTGGTCTGTCGCTGGTCCCGCTTCTGCGCCGCGGCGAAGAGCCGGCGCCCGGCCTCGTCCCCCTGCGAGAGGGGCGGAGACGTTTGTCAGGTGGTCGGCACCTGAAGTTCCAACCTGCTTTTAGTTGTTTGTTTTACCTGGGCAACCTTTTTGTTGGTCGGTTGGTTGGTTGGTCGGTCGGTCGGTCGGTCGGTGGGTTGGTTGGTTGGTTGGTTGGTCGGTGGGTTGCTTGGTTGGTCGGTCGGTCGGTCGGTCGGTGGGTGGGTGGGTGGGTGGGTGGGTGGGTGGGTGGGTGGGTGGGTGGGTGGGTGGGTGGGTGGGTGGGTGGGTGGGTGGGTTGGTTGGTTGGTTGGTTAGTTGGTGGGTTGCTTTTTGTGGAGTGCTTCTGTTTTTGTCGCTTGGCTCAAGGTAAATCAAGTTTTTGCTGGTGTGGCTTGTGGTTCAGAGCCCGTCTGACACTCACAAATACTCCAAAGACCCTTTTTGTAGCTCCCATGGGCCCTGACGAACACAGTGTAGAGCCTGGGCACTAAAAATTGGGATCTGGAGAAAATACATGTTTTAGCCAATTAGCACCCAACAATCTAGGGGTGAATTGTGCATTCCCTCTCTTTACGTATTTCTGAAAGGCTTGCTGATACCCCATTCAGTTGGGTCGGCAACCGGGAAAGCAAGCAGTATGGACACCAGACGTGAAACACCGCTCTTGTTTGCAGCCCGTCGCCTGGACCTTCGACACTTCAAGACTCTTTGAAGGGTGCGCTCACGCATGACAAACCCCTATTGCACCTGAAGTCTGTTACTCCCCTACTAGTACTGGCCTACTGAGGACGACCCCATCCCGCGCTGTGCTTTCTGGGAATCTTCCAAGCAGGAAGGTGGTCAAAACAATCAAACCCTTGGTAGATGATTTTCCCCACTAGGGGATGCAAAAGGCTACACTGTTGGAACCACTGGAACCTCGACAAAAACATGCCTTTCCTGAGGAGTCCCCCTCCCCCCAATCAAGTGGAAAGAGAAAAACTTTTCAGTGGTCCAGCACTGGAGCCAAAAGACACGTTCTTAGAGGTCCAGTGTGGTCGCTCCAGCAGTTTCCAGAACTGGGCTGCCCTCAAATCCCCTGCTAAAAGTTCAGCTTTCAGTGGGTCAAATGGAAACCCCACTAAACACTAGAAGTCCAAAAGCCAAGGAACCGGCTGGCTGGGGAGCCACCAAGAAAAGACCCGCCTCTGCCTCCCGTCCAAAGCTCTCCGGCCGAGGCGCCGCCTCTTTGGGCGCCTTGCGGTGCACCGAGAGCGCCTGCAGCTCCTGGGCTTCTTCCTGGCGCTTCCTCGGTCGCTTTGTTCCCCAGAAGCGGCAGATTTCTGGACCTGAAGTCTCCATGGCCCTTTAGAAATTGGGTCACTACCCAAAATTAAGGGGTCATGGACCCATTCTTATTCAAACTACGGTGGATGCACAGTGGGAAGCTGCTGGGTTTGGCGGGCTTGCGAACTGGTAGAAAATCCGGCGGGGGCGATTCAACTGGTTTACAAAAGGGGTTCAACCACCGGTTGTTTGAACACCCTCCTGTAGGTAATGGGAGCCCAGATTCAGCGGGGTTCATTTAATCAGGGAGTGTCCCATTTAAGATGGAAACAGCATCACTTTTTGGAGAAACACCACGTGTGAATCTAACCCAGGTGAGAGACAATCAAGACCTAGCACTAAAGGGTCTATCCAAAATCATGTAAAGATTTGAGGGGGCAGCCGCACCAATTTATGGCTGGGGCTGCCCTTTGCTAACCTTCACTTACCCTGGTTCTCATTGTGACTTAGGTTTGGCTGCGCAAAAGCAGCTGGGCTGCATTGTCATTCGCTAGGGTCGTGAGGGCATGGCTCTGTTAACTGCTCAGCCGAGTAACTCTCTCAGCATCTCATGCCTCCTCTCCTCGGCAAGAGCCGTGCGAGCGATGGCCGACAACACCCTCTTCCCATATTGTGCGCCACATGCATCTGCTTGCTGCTTGCCGGCTCTCCGGCGACCAGACTTGCAATTCCGAAAGGCTCCTTTTGGTTTCCCTTTACATCCGCAAAAGGGATGTACCCTCGCAAAAGGCACACCCAGATATGGCTTCTTCTTTGTACCCAAAATGAATCCCGGGCAAATAGAACCAAGGACTAAAACCTGCGGTCCTCTGAGTCTTCTGGTGGCTTAAATTTGACCCATACCCAGATAGCAAGCATTTGATTTGTGTTGAAAAGGATTGGGGGCCGAAGGGCCAGCTTCTTCTTCTGCCACTCCTTCTGCTCCCGGAGCCACTCCTGCCGTCGCACAAGTCAGTTTTCATGACTCGAAGTCGGTGTTTTTCTGTGTTTTTTTTTCCTGATTTGTGTTCTGCTTTTTTGCATTTTTGTTGTTGTTTCTTTTCTTTGTTTTATGTTAAGTTTCGTAGGAATCTGGGGGCGGGGGCTGCGTAGCCCCAAGAAGAACGCCACTCTTGAGCAAATGTTTACATGTGTTCCCCGAAGAATGGAAACCGTGACCCCAACGAGGGGGGGAAAACTCCTTGGGACCCCTTGGGACAACATGGCGGCGGATGGCCCCGAGGCCTATTTTCGCGAGCGGCAAGCCTGCCATTTCCGGATTCACGGAAATGGATTTGGAGGCAATACACCTGTTCTTTCCCATGAGCTGCCTCACCTGAGTGTTTCACCCCAATATTCCCCCACCTACCCCCCACCCCCCTGCCCCCCACCTCACGGTTGACGTTGCCCGTAGAGTTGAGCTTGGGACTGAAGGGATGGCGCTCCTGAAGCCTGAGCCATGAGCGGGAGGTTTTGAAGTCTGAAACGTCCTGGTGGGCCAGCCGCAAATTGTGCAAGCTGGGGCATCTTTCTTCAGACTTGCAAACAGAAGCCCAAGATCGGCCATCGGAGCCCGGGGTGAAAACCACAATATCGATTGCCGGCAGCTGTTCTTCCCTGCCCGAATTCAGCCAAGTTGGACATGCCTTGGCGCTTTCTTTGGAAGACTTGTTGGCCAGTGGTTTGTTTCACTCCTGGATCAACCCCCTTGGAAAAGGGTCTTGGCATCCCATCCACGGCATGTGGCTCAGACCAGGCGCTCTTCCTCGTACTGGCTCCGAGACTTCACCAAGAACGGGGACTTGGGGCGGTCCCTGTCTTGTAGCCGCTGCCAAGCCTGCAAAGGGGCAAATGGTCGGGGCTTGGGAGTGAAGGTTGAACAGGCCCCCTCAAGCCCCCAGCGGCTAAGTCATGCTTAGTCCAGGTTGGCGATGGCTCCCACCTTGAGGGGCGCGGGTGGTTCTCATTTTCATTGTTCATTGCTATCAGTGTGCCAAACGTGTCGGAACCACATCTGAAATTCCAGGTGCCATTTTCGGGCATTAGCAAACTATAGGGAGTCCAGCGATTTTTTGTGTAAGCGTAATATGACCGCATGGAAGCTTCCAAGGAAACTTCCGTATGGGAAGTGGTTTCTGGGCTCCCCGCCTCCTGCCGATCTTCCGCCCTGGGCTTTGCCAGCTCCGGGCGGAAGGGGTGGTTCTCCTGGAACCTGGGAGTGCCAGAGGGGCCGGGCCTGACTGGCCAAGCTATCTTTGGGGGGGGAGGGGGGGGGGGGATTCGGCGTACACGTGTGCAGCATAACTGTATACATGCGTGTATATATGCACATATACATACATACATATACATATATAAATATATATATATGCATGTAATCACAGCTAGTCATACATATATATATATACATGTGTAGTATATACTATATACATTATATATAGATATGTGTGTGCGCATGTTTATGAATATATGATTATACAACAAACATACATTATTAAAAGAAGCATTGATTGCATTTGATTTTAGTGCTCAAGATTTAACAAAACCAAATGTATTTAATGCTGAGATTGGAATATATATATAAAGTAAGATCAAAAGAAGCACATCCAGATGGACTTGGTGGCACTTTGTATTATTGTAAAATATGTACTATCAATAGCATCAATTAATTATGGAATTGGGGTTAGATATTTAGATACATATGTCTGCAAACTTGACAACATATGTATTACAACCCCAAAAATATGTTCACACAAAAAGGCTCAACTCACCAATAAAACAACAAGCTCACTATGTCATTCCATGATATATCAGCAGCACCTTTGCCGCCAAACGTCTCACAGCGATCACCTCGCGCCCCGTGGCCAAACAAAGGTCATAGCCGCCAAGCGGCTCATCTTCGTACTTCGAGCGGGCACGGACCAGAACCTCTTTCTTTCTTTTCACGCCTTCGTCATGTATGCGTTGGCAGGCCTGGAGCGGGCAACTCCTATCAACATGAGCGGGAAATTAGGCTGGCCCCGCGGGTTTTGCGGACATTTGAGTGGGGCCCCATGCCCCCTTCAATCTACGAATTCCTCAGCACCCGCCCTTCAACAATCATGGAAGCTGACACCACCAAAATGGAAGCTGACAGGAGGGGCTGGAAGACTACCCTCATTTTCGGGGCAACCCCCTGTCCACTTCCATGACTGGAAAGAGGGAAGTGGCAGGCCACCCGCCTCGCTGGCTGTGCCCCTGCCAGGTTTCCTCAGGAACAAGCAGCGGGGGGAGGTTGGGCAGGAAAAGTTGAAGTTCCTCAGGCCCAAGTAACAAATAGCTTGGCTGAACATGGCGCTGACCAACAGCGACCCCAGATTGATCAACCTCATGGATTGTTAGAGGGGGGGGGGGGGCGGCCCAAAAGTGAAACATCCCCTTGCGCCCATCTTCAGTTCCCTTTAGTCTTGCTGCCCTGCCTTCAGCCTAGGATGTTGCAGACAAGCCGCGGATCAGGGGGTGGCTCTTCCTTCTTCTGCCGCGCGTCCTTCACGCGGATCTTCTGATCTGATCCTGGCCCCACCCCACCCCCCGGTCCCCCCCAAAGCCCCATCAATGGCAAGCGAAAAGCCTGGAATCCAATCTCCAAGCTGCACCCTGAGTAGAAAAAGAATCCAGCCGAGCAAGACAAAAACTTACCTCCACCCCCCAACGCAAGAAGGCTTCTTGGAACCTTCGTAGGGGAAAAAGACGACATGCTGGTGGGCAGTAGACCATGCACCAGCCAGGCGCATGTCCATCCAAGGCCTCCCACGTAGAGGCGCGCATGTACGTCCCGGTTTTGGAGCATGGCACTCAGCCCTGGCTTGGCGTCACCTGCGGGCTCGCAGCCAACACCCCAAGCGTGGCCCTTTTTAGGGGGAAACACCACTTGTCTTGTGCCTGGCCATTGCTTTCAAGGGACTGGACATGGCTTGGTTTCGAGGCTGGATGTTGCCCGGAATGTCGTCGACCGGCCTTTGCTCCCCGATTTGCTGCTGGGACTTTCTCCGCGCGGACGTCCTGAAGGCGCACACGGCAAAATGTTGTTTTTTCCTGGCGTCTGCCGGGGCAGCCGGTCCCTTCGGAGGGAACCCGCAAAAAGAGTAAACCTCAAAAAGCCAACCATGAAATTGAAGCATGTTCCATGATCATGGGAGCACGCCCTTCCCCTGCGCATTGGGCATCAACACTCAGCTGACTTTGAGGCATCCCAAGCCGGAGCCGTTCAAGAACACGAGGAAGAAGAACGCAACAAGAGGCCATTCCCTCAAACCGACCCCAAGACACACAAAAGCGGAACAGGTTACATAGTTAGTGCTTCGTATTGGTGCTTTCGACATTACGTGCCCCTTTGGCTTCAAAAGTACGGTTCAAATCCCGCCACCAACTAAGGGGCGCCTCAAAATCAAAAAATACCCACATAAACCAAAACCCGGGCGCGCCGCCGGTCCGCTGGGCCCGCCCCGTCCTTGTCTGAACCTCCCCCCCCCCCCGCCTTGCGTTTTGGACTTCGCCGCCGGCCGTGGAGAGTTCTCCGCGGCCCCCCGCGCGCCTGTCACCGCCGAAGGCTCGAGTTCCCTGGCCTTTGAAATTCATGGGGACTGCCCCTTGATGGATGTGGACCCTCCCGGTTCCATTTACCAAGGGAAAGCATGGGACTTGCCACTTGATGGACGTGGACTCCCCTCCCAATACATTAGCACTTGGGGGGTATACAGGCGGCCGCTTGGCTCAGGCAATGCCAAAGAATGCCACAGAATGCCAAAGAATGCCAAAGAATGCCAAGCTGCCGCACTTGTAGTCACCAGACATCTTGAGACACTGGCTAAACCATCAGATTTTGACATGCTTCATTATGATGCCCTTTTCAATGCGTCAGGGCCATGATTAGCTCTGTTGTTGTTTTGGCACGCTCCCCACATTGAAGGAGGTGCGGAAAGCGACCGGGAAAAAATACATTGGACATACAAGCGAACAGCAAGCAAAGGACAGGCGATGATCCATATTGCTGGCTGACGTGTTGAGTCTGTTGAGAAGGCTTGAAAATGGAGCTAGCTCTGCGTATTCAGAAGCTGACGGGGAAATAGCCCCCTAAACCACTGACGCAAGGCCTTGCTGGAAACACCGGGATTCGGGTTGAAAAAGATCTGCCGTAAACCGAAAGCCGGCGCCGGCTCGAGTTTCCGGGTAGAGGTCCTAGATTTCCCCAAAGGGACATGGGGCCGAAAGGAGTCTCACCTGTAACTGGCACCCAAAAAGCGAGGCTTCAACCAAACCAGGCCCCTGGCACGTTCCAAGTGTTCTCCCGCCTCGGGGTGTTGCAGCCATAAGGGGGCTGTCCATGGCCTTCGGTGGGCGAGGTGGGATGAGCCGCCAAAGCGAAAGTCGCGACGTGAAGCAAAGTGCAAAAGGGGCCCTTTGCAAAGCCGGGCAATGGCACTCACTCCACAAGCCGGATACTGCGCCCCACGGCTGACTGCATGATCGCAACAGCTTGCAGAAATCGGGTATTCATAACCCTTGGCTGATGAAGGATTCCATTTTTGTAGCAGGACATCCTTGACTTTTTCGTAGGGACACCCACGCACACTTGAGCATCTTCCCTGGGGCGCCAGCCGGCAAGCAATGCCATGGAGTCCATGGCCGCGCCCAGCTTAAGCGGTGAAGAGATGAAGCAGTGCTTCTGCATGGCTTGAGCTTCACACAAAAGCCATGTCGGCTCTGAGCATTTGAATCCCGTTGCCTGTGTGTGTGTGTGCGTGCATGTGTCCGCCACATTGCTACACATTTGGGTGCTTGATGGTGCCGTTCTGGAATGTGTGGCTGCGTACCAGCTGCCCAAACAAAGCTTCAAGAACATCGCCAGCTGATAGCAGCAATGCCGAAAGCATGGGCCAAGCCACGCTTGCTCCTTTTTGGACCCTGGCACCAAGGCTCACCGTGCTCATGCCCAAGGTCAGCGGGATGCTGAAGGCGGTCTCCGTTGCGGCCGGCACCTCCGGCACCGCCGGTCGCGCGTCGCTGTCGCCGAAGGTGAGGGACACAAAGGAGCTGGGGCCCGGGTTCACGGCCGCCTCCGCCGCCTCCGGCGACTGGCGCAAGAGACACTCCTCCAGTGACTGGGTGGGATGGGCCTCGCCGCCAAATGGCGTGCGCCCCAAGTCCTCGGGCTGGTCGGTGGTAGACTCCCAAAGGCCACGGCATCGGCGCTTCTGGGCATTGAGCACGCCGGACAAGCCTTGAAGCCATCAAACACCCATGGAGTGCTGAACTATTTGGTGGCCGAGGTGGCAAATATGATCCTTTTCTCTTGTTCATACCGAGCCATCTTGTTGCAGGTTATAAAAGGTCAAAGGTGCCATCCTTTACAACCAAGAAGCCGTCCAGCAGCCGCGCCTCGTGCGCCTCCACCTCCTCCGGCAATAGCTCCAGCTGCCTCTTCAGCACCTCCTGCCTGGCAAGAAGACTCGCCTTCTCCGCCTGGGCCCATGGGTTCAAGGGCTCACGGGCTCACGCCCCTGCCCAGCTCAAGCAACCGCGGGAGTTCTACAATTGTTCAAGCCTGCCGCTGGTTTGCTGGTGGTTTGTTTCTTGCACCCTGAAACCTACTGTTTAAAACCCAGGTGCTGTTTAAGTCACAGCTTCCATCCTGTTGCTTAACCACCCTCATTTTGGTTTCTCGTTCAAAGGCTTTGCCTACCTGGGTTGGAAACAAAGAGATGCCCACTGGCCTGGACACTGCTGGCTTGGCTCTGCACGTCGCTCTGCAATTTCCGGATGCCGCTGCATATGTCGCCCAGGGCTTTGTCCAAGCTGACCGCAGGAAAGCGAGCTGCCTGCACTGCTGCCACCGGCCCTTCCCTGCCAGGGAATTCCATAAGCCAAATCCGAAGGAAACTGGAGAGCAATGAAGAAATTGCGTAGGAAACACATGGGGCAGAGGGGGGGGGGGGGGTGTTTGTGAGGAGACTTTTTGTTTTTGTGGTTTAAAAGGAATCCAAAGGGAAAACCCACATGCTGCCAGGCCCAATGGGTTGCCGATACATGTTTAATGATCGTGGTGGAAATTGAACGCGTGATTCACCCGTCCACAACCTGAAAAAAAAAAAAGCTGTTTGATTAAACAGAAACAACAATTCCGTCCACAGGAGACCAATCTAAACACCTCAATTCTAGACTCCTTGGTTCAGAGCAGAGAAGCAACCGGTACAATTTCTTTTGACATTTAAACCCACCCTTTTTATTATATTCATTACTACAGAAAAGGATGCTCTTAATGTCAAAAAATGGAGCCCAGAAGCACCCTGCCTGTAAATGAACCGCACGGTGACTTCCAGCTCCGACGCAACCACCCGCCAAGCCGCCTCAGCCCTTGGACCAGGGAGCCGACTCGGCGACAGGCTCTCGGGAGGGGAGCTGAGCGCCTCCCGCAGCAAGCGCAAGTTGGCGGGATCCTTCCAGCTGTCCCCCAAGGGTCCTGACCAAGGTCCGAATGCGACAGATCGATACACCCTTCGATGGATAAAAGGGTGTCTGCGTACCTTTGTGGAGGGCATCCTTCGCATTTCAAGCAACTATGCAACCCGAGCAAGTCACATGTTGCCGACGCCGCCTCTCCTGCCAAATCCTTCTGCTGCAGCGTGCCCACCCAGCACTGGTTGCCATCGATCATCACCAGGTGGCACAAGCCTTCGGGCGCCGGCACCGCGTCTGGCGCCCCGTCCGGCGCCTGCGGCGCCTGCGCTGCCTCGGAATGCCAGGCGCACTGAACGAAGAGCGGCACCCCAGGACCCAAGGCGTTGGGAAACTCCACCAGCGCCGGCATCATGGCATCCCCGCCCGCACACGAAAGAAAGAAGGCGAAGCCGTATCTGAAGTTGGCCATATGTTGAACATTGTCGAAAAAACAAGTCATGTGGACAGCTGAACAAGGCCGGTGTTTGTTCCAGCGCTGCCGGTTCAATTCCGTACTTTCGACATGCAAATCACGTAGTGTTGACGAACATCCAGCTGAACGCTCAATTGAGGATGATAGGGTGTGTCTGTATACTGTATACTGCGCTGAGCCACGTGGAAGGGAAATTGAAAAATTATACCAGCATAGACCCCAAATAGCTGCGTTGTCAGCCAACGAACTAAACATACCCATTCCAATACAACCGGCACTGCAGCAGCACCGTGCTGAGAGCAGCACTCGGCCTTCACAGCACCTGTCCGGAATTCTGAGTCTCACCGGTGGCAGCTCGAATGGGCATAATTTTGTGGCGCGAGGTATCATGAAGCATTCCGCTCTTTCGGCAATCGGCGAAATTGCAAACCCTGTTTTAGCACGGGCTTTACCCCAAATAGCTGAAAGCTATAGTGCTGTCGCAAGGGTTCTAACTTCAAGCAAAGCAGGGGTGGCACTAACTCGGACAAAACACAGAGGCACTCCCACAAGCGCCCACAAGCCAGGTTTGGCAAGCTGCGTTACAACCAGCCCGGGCTCTGCGAGAAGCCTCGAGGCGGCTTAAACAAACAGGCAAGCAACGTCGACTCAGCAACCAACTAGGGGCTCCTTGCTCACCCCCCTCTGCTTGCTGGACGATGTGCGGCACTCCTCCCGAATCGTGCCAAACATACTCCGAGGGCTCGGAGTAAAACATCTGGACAAACGGGAGACACTCGTTTGCCCCCGGCACGCCAAGCAGGCCCTGCAACATGGACTGGCGACTCATAGTATCGAAAGCACCGATACCGTCGACCGAGTGGTCGGCCGCAAGGAAGTGAACAACGCTCTCAGCACCTGCCCGGGTTGACAAAGCGAACTGGAAGGGGCGGCAAGCCGCTTGGAGGGCTTCGGCCTTTTGCTGGGCAAAAACACGGGCGACCAAGCGACGGGTGAAGTCACCAACAACAATGCCACGGATCCGGCTGTTGGGCTTGCGCAAAGTGATGAGCCGCCCGAGCCCGAGTGCTCTGGCTGCATCACGGGGAATGCGGGCTTGAGCAACCAGTGGCAGCACACGAACAAACTGGTCGGACGCATCCTCGTCATCTAGGAGCACTCGGGCAACCTCAGCTGTTAGCCCGGAAGGTCCAGGGGCGGCGCCTTTGCGTGCACGCCGCAGGCCGGAAAGGACAGGCTCCGGAAGAAGCTGGGCTGGGGGAGGCTGGAAATCCAAAACCTCGGGCGAAAGGGGCCCACACGGCTGGTTGGGCCGCCGGGCGGGGTCCCTCAGCTCCTGAAGAGTTTCAACGGTGCCGGGGGCCAGCGGGCTGGCACCAACGCTTGCCGGGCAGCTGACAGCTCCCCTAGGTGGACAAGGTGACGCGTTGGCTGGAGCGATCCGCTCGTCTAGACTCTCCTCGGCCTTTGCCTTTACGGCTTCCCTGCCCCAAGGATGCCGGCAAAGCGTGGCACACGCATTGCTGGTCTGTGCGGGGGACTCTCCGGTGCACTTCTCCGATGGGTTTGGCCCACTGAGCCTGGCCTGGGGGTGGGCAGTCCTGGGCTTGGCGACGGGGACGCTCCTAGGCCTGCCACGCGCTTCGTTCGGACGGCGGGCGCCGCAGCTGCTGGCACGGCTGCCAGGGTTTGCGGCCGCAGCCTCCGCAGCCGGCAAGCAGCATGCTCGCTCGGCCGCGGTGGCGGGCAGCCCGCGGGCTTGTAGCGTCGCACGCCGTGCGCCGTGCGCTTGCCTGCCAGCATCTGAGGGATGCACGCGGCCGGTCGTCGTGCGCGCCGGGTCCACAACACGTAGGGTGAGGGGGCCTCCTGAGGGCGAAGGCTTGCTTTGTGTCTGCCGCAGCTGTTTGGCTTTTCTGGCTCCCAGGGACCCTTTGCAGTAACCGGTGGCGACTATGTCGTGCCGTGCTTGCCGCCTTCGTGACGCGCAAACGGAAGCGGCACATTGCCGAGCCTGCTGCGCGCTCATTTTGCTGCAGCGGTTGGTGCAGGGCCCGGCTCTTCCTGAGGAGCTGGACACCATGGTCGGCTCCTGCTGGAAGGCGGCGCAGCTACTCCGAAAGCTGGCCGACGCTTACGCGCGGCCGCCGGCTCACCAAGAGCGGCGCTGCAGCCGCAGCCCTGGTGGTGGTGGTGGCCGCAGCCGCAGCCGGCGGGGAAAGGGCAAAGGCAGAGGCCGCGGGCGGGGCAGAAATGTTAAGGAGCGCGCTGAGCGCGGGCGTGACCAGCAACGTCACCAACAGCTGCTCCAGGCAGCCGCTGGAGAGAGCGCCCCTAGGCCCCCTCTTCAGAGTAGCCTGCCGAGACGAGCGGACCGAAGGGCTGCCACTGGCGGCCCACGCAGCAGCTCCCATCGCAAAAAAAAGGTGCGCAGGGCCGGGGGGACGGGTGTTGGCAGTCGTGCTTTGTTTACGCGCGTCAGCGTTCCCAGCAGCCCATTGGAGGGCTGCCGTGTTGGCGAGGCGCGCAACCTGGGGCCAACGGAGACGAACAACGCTCAGAGCGCCACTGCAAAACAGGGGGCTGTACAGCCAGCTATTTGCCTCATCCTCATTGGTCAAGATTCCACCAGCAACAACAAAAGAGTCATGCAAACAGAGTGGCATCGTGATTCAAAAAAGTATTGTTTTCAACAACTTGCTTCCGCCACCATGCAAACTACTCCTGTGGGCCCGCGAGCAATACAAGGCACAAACTGAAAGGCAAAGGCACATTCCTGGAACATTTAGGGCAAGTCAGCAGAGTCGACGCTGGACAGGGCTCGCCGCAAGCGGTCGGGCTGTAGGGCGCAGCCAAGTCGTTGCTGAGACTGTTGTCGGTGTGGCCGCTGCGGCGCCTTCCGTTGCCGCTCACCGCTCGCGCCTGCCGGTGCCGTCGCCCTTTGGACCCCGTTGGCGACCACAGTGCAGCCTGTGTCTGGGCGAGCGTCTGTTTTTTTCCGCGCGCGCGCGCGCGCCTTTTTCCGCAGTGGCTTCAACGTGTTTCAGGGGTAATTTTAAGGGGCGCCTTTGGGCACGGGAGGTCTTTGCCGCTGTTTTTACGGAGGCCAGCTCCTCACGTGCAGGCGGGCACCCTTCACCGGACGCGGCTGCGCGCGGCAAACGGCTCCCCGCCGTCAGCAAGCACGTCACTGACCAAGGGCGGCGGCCCATCGACACCTGCGGCCGAGTGGGCGGGCAAGGCCAAGAGGCTGGCAGCGTACGCCCGGCTCGCGCCCGCGGCCAAGAAGGAGGACCAGCGCCGGGCAAAGGCAGCCGACACGGCGCCGCGCACACGAGGCGGCACACTTCTCGCACGCGCCCGCGCCAGCCGCTGCACGAAGTCCACGGTTTCCGGGCTGAAGCGCCCGCCAACCTCAAGCGCAAGGACCACCAGCCTGCAGCGCGAGTCAGGGCGAAGGAGCTCCGGGTATGTGCGCTCCTTGGCCCGTCGGGCTTGGCGCAGGGCTGCGCCCTCGGCTCTGTTCTGGTAGCGCCGCGGGGCACCTGTAGAGGACAAGGCCGACACCAGCGTGGTATCCACAGCAAGTTGCATGCCACCCCACAGGGGTAAGCCATTGGCTATGACTTCAATCCGCCGGTCATCTCCGGGCACGCTGCCGACATTGAGGTCCCTGACCAATGTGTGCATAGCAACCACGGCCCCTGCTTCACGACAAATGCGCGCTGCCGCCCGTTCAAGTGGGCCGCCCCGTGCTCGCAAGACACCAGATCGCGGACATGCAGAGCGGTGATCGCCAAGAGCGTCCTGCTCCCTTCCACACCGGCATCGCGCAGGGACGAAAGGCAAGGGCAAGCGCAGGCGTCGCAACAGCAACACATGGAAATGCGCGGGCTCCAAAATCAACTCCGGGCAAACGGGGAGCATCAAGAAGACCTGGGCTGAGCACGGTCCGGACTGGGACAGCAGCATGGCTGCAGAGGCTGCATCCAAGTTGCAAGTCAAGAGCTGCCGACGCTGCTTTCTGCCACCCCCGCCCGATGCCAGCGCAACATCATGTGGTTTCGGCGCGTCGCCAAGGAGTTGGTGCCACTGAGGGGCCTCAAACCCCTGCCGAGCAAGCAGGGTCACGGTTGCCTTGAGCGTGTCCAGGACACGGCAACAAGGCCCATCCGGCTCAAGTTGGCGTACAATATGCTGCGCGAGGTCGGGATCTCCGCGCTGCATCGCCGACAAGCTGTCAGCCCACGAGGCCCAAAACGCCGCGGGTGCATGCAACCGGGCTGAACGCAGCCCTAGTCCACCATGGCGGAAGGCAAGTTGGGACTGCCGACTGGCCGTGTCCGGGAGCGCCCCCCCGTCCTCTCCAAACAGCCTTGCACTGAAACATCTCTGCACTGCAGCGTCGTGCTCAATGGCAAAAAGATCGGTGAGTTCTGGGAGTATGATACGAAGTGCATAGTTGGACCGCGGCGACGCGCAGTACAGCAACAGCAGCCAAGCGACCTGCAGGTCAGGAAGGGTCGGGAGGACCTGCAGGAGGCGAAGTTGTTTGTTGCGCACTGCGTCGAGCTGGGCCCGCACGAATGCATTTCCGCCCAAAGGGGCTCCTAGAACGGTAATCCCTTGCTCTGCCTCGGGGAGCTGAGCATTGCCACGCCACACATCTGCTGCACTGATGTCCGCCAGGCCTGGCGGCTCCACTGCGGCTGCGTTCCACACACGTGTTTTTGCGTGATTAAGGGAAATGCGGGCACGTTCATACAGGCACCGGGACGCAGCCTGAAACAGCGGCTGTATGCGATCAGGCTGCGCTGTCAAGTACAAGTCATCCAAAAAGGCAAGGGAACGCTCCTCCGGGCGGAGCTCCGGCTGCAGGGCGACAAGCGCTTGATGCATGGCGAGTGCAAACAATGCCGGCACGAGCGGGTCGCCTT